GGAGAAGAAACATATTGAATAAATTTACATCTAATTAACCATAGTTCAATGTGAATTATGGTAAATATAAATAAATTCTAGCTTTATTATTTATTTTATTTATTACCTATTTGATAAGAAATATATGTCATGGATCATAGTCTATTAACTTTGTTTTTAAGTGGGGAAAAACCTAAAATTTTGTGATGGAGTAGAAAAATAAAATATAGGTAATTTTTTACATCTACTCTAGTCTATTATGTTTTTTGAATGGTGATAAAAAGATTAAAACTTTGGAACGGTGAAGAAAAATATCTAATATTTTTTGATGTCATATACCATAAGTCAATGTGAATACGATGAATATAAATAATATTGAGCATGATTATTTAATTTTAATTTGTATGCATGTGTATAAGTCATGGGTCGTTCATTTGTATTTTCTTAAGTTAGTTTCTTAGAGGTTAAGAAACCAGAATTTTGGTGACGGAGAAGAAGAAAAATATAGAAATTGTTTACATCTATTATGCTTTATAGTGTTTTAACTGTGGCTTACTGACGAAGAAAGGTGAAATTTTGTGATGGAGAAGAAACGTATTGAAGAAATTTACATCAAATTAACCATAATTCAATGTGAATTATGGTAAATATAAATAAATTCTAGCCTTATTATTATTTTATTTATTACCTATTTGATAAGAAATATATGTCATGGATTATAGTCTTTTAACTTTGTTTTTTAGTGGGCAAAAACCTAAAATTTTGTGATGGAGTAGAAAAATAAAATATAGGTAATTTTTTACATCTACTATAGTCTATTATGTTTTTTGAATGGTGATAAAAAGATTAATAGTTTGGAACGGTGAAGAAAAAATCTAATATTTTTAGATGTCATATACCATAAGTCAATGTGAATACGAGGAATATAAATAATATTGAGCATGATTATTTTTATTTTAATTGTTATGAATGTGTATAAATCATGGGTCATTCATTTGTATTCTCTTAAGTTAGTTTCTTAGAGGTTAAGAAACCAGAATTTTGGTGACGGAGAAGAAGAAAAACATAGAAATTGTTTACATCTATTATGCTTTATAATCTTTTAACTCTGTGGCTTACTGACGAAAAAAGATAAAATTTGGTGATGGAGAAGAAACATATTGAATAAATTTGTTGTGTTTTATAGTCTTTTAACTCTTTGGCTTACTGACGAAAAAAGATGAAATTTGGTGATGGAGAAGAAACATATTGAATAAATTTACATCTAATTAACCATAGTTCAATGTGAATTATGGTAAATATAAATAAATTCTAGCTTTATTATTTATTTTATTTATTCCCTATTTTATAAGAAATATATGTCATGGATTATAGTCTTTTAACTTTGTTTTTTAGTGGGGGAAAACCTAAAATTTTGTGATGGAGTAGAAAATTAAATATAGGTAATTGTTTACATCTACTATAGTCTATTATGTTATTTGAATGGTGATAAAAAGATTAAAACTTTGGAACAGTGAAGAAAAATATCTAATATTTTTAGATGTCATATACCATAAGTCAATGTGAATACGATGAATATAAATAATATTGAGCATGATTATTTAATTTTAATTGTTATGCATTTGTATAAATCATGGGTCATTCATTTGTATTCTCTTAATTTAGTATCTTAGAGGTTAAGGAACTAGAATTTTGGTGACGGAGAAGAAGAAAAATATAGAAATTGTTTACATCTATTATGCTTTATTGTCTTTTAACTCTGTGGCTTACTGACGAAAAAAGATGAAATTTGGTGATGGAGAAGAAACATATTGAATAAATTTACAACTAATTAACCATAGTTCAATGTGAATTATGGTAAATATAAATAAATTCTAGCTTTATTATTTATTTTATTTATTACCTATTTGATAAGAAATATATGTCATGGATTATAGTCTTTTAACTTTGTTTTTTAGTGGGGAAAAACCTAAAATTTTGTGATGGAGTAGAAAAATAAAATATAGGTAATTTTTTACGTCTACTATAGTCTATTATGTTTTTTGAATGGTGATAAAAAGATTAAAACATTGGAACGATGAAGAAAAATATCTAATATTTTTTGATGTCATATACCATAAGTCAATGTGAATACGATGAATATAAATAATATTGAGCATGATTATTTAATTTTAATTGTTATGAATGTGTATAAATCATGGGTCATTCATTTGTATTCTCTTAAGTTAGTTTCTTAGAGGTTAAGGAACCAAAATTTTGGTGACGAAGAAGAAGAAAAATATAGAAATTGTTTACATCTGTTGTGTTTTATAGTCTTTTAACTCTGTGGCTTACTGACGAAATAAGATGAAACTTGGTGATGGAGAAGAAACATATTGAATAAATTTACATCTAATTAACCATAGTTCAATGTGAATTATGCTAAATATAAATAAATTCTAGCTTTATTGTTGATTTTATTTATTACCTATTTTATAAGAAATATATGTCATGGATTATAGTCTTTTAACTTTGTTTTTTAGTGGGGAAAAACCTTAAATTTTGTGATGAAGTAGAAAAATAAAATATAGGTAATTTTTTACATCTACTATAGTCTATTATGTTATTTGCATGGTGATAAAAAGATTAAAACTTTGGAACAGTAAAGAAAAATATCTAATATTTTTAGATGTCAGATACCATAAGTCACTGTGAATACGATGAATATAAATAATATTGAGCATGATTATTTAATTTTAATTGTTATGCATGTGTATAAACCATGGGTCATTCATTTGTATTCTCATAAGTTAGTTTCTTAGAGGTTAAGAAACCAGAATTTTTGTGACGGAGCAGAAGAAAAATATAGAAATTGTTTACATCTATTATGCTTTATAGTCTTTTAACTCTGTGGCTTACTGTCGAAGAAAGGTGAAATTTTGTGATGGAGAAGAATCGTATTGAATAAATTTACATCAAATTAACCATATTTCAATGTGAATTATGGTAAATATAAATAAATTCTAGCTTTATTATTTATTTTATTTATTACCTATTTGATAAGAAATATATGTCATGGATTATAGTCTTTTAACTTTGTTTTTTAGTGGGGAAAAACCTAAAATTTTGTGATGGAGTAGAAAAATAAAATATAGGTAATTTTTTACATCTACTATAGTCTATTATGTTTTTTGAATTGTTATAAAAAGGTTAATAGTTTGGAACGGTGAAGAAAAATATCTAATATTTTTAGATGTCATATACCATAAGTCAATGTGAATACGAGGAATATAAATAATATTGAGCATGATTATTTTTATTTTAATTGTTATGAATGTGTATAAATCAAGGGTCATTCATTTGTATTCTCTTAAGTTAGTTTCTTAGAGGTTAAGAAACCAGAATTTTGGTGACGGAGAAGAAGAAAAATATAGAAATTGTTTACATCTATTATGCTTTATAGTCTTTTAACTCTGTGGCTTACTGACGAAGAAAGATGAAATTTGGTGATGGAGAAGAAACATATTGAATAAATTTACATCTAATTAACCATAGTTCAATGTGAATTATGGTAAATATAAATAAATTCTAGCTTTATTATTTATTTTATTCATTACCTATTTGATAAGAAATATATGTCATGGATCATAGTCTATTAACTTTGTTTTTAAGTGGGGAAAAACCTAAAATTTTGTGATGGAGTAGAAAAATAAAATATAGGTAATTTTTTACATCTACTCTAGTCTATTATGTTTTTTGAATGGTGATAAAAAGATTAAAACTTTGGAACGGTGAAGAAAAATATCTAATATTTTTTGATGTCATATACCATAAGTCAATGTGAATACGATGAATATAAATAATAT